GGGTTTGACAGAAGGGGTGAGGTAGGTGAAGTTAAAACGTTGGTTGATCTAAATGACACAAAACATATTAGAAGCATAACCAGGCATGGAGCAACAGTAGCATTCAGTTGAAGTCATGTTTCTGCCCACCTGCTAAATTAAAGTCCAACAATTCCACTCATCTTTTAGCTCTGTTTTTAGTCTTCACCTATTCCTGAGGGAAATATCTGCTCTTTAGCAACTAAACCTCCCACTATATTCACCAGCTAGTCGCTAACTCTGCCTCTCTGACATTTGGTGTTAGAACTTTTTCACAGCTGATGGGAACGTATCAACAGTAAAGTTTTGAGTCGTAAAACCAAAACAATGAGCTAAAAGAGGCCTAAAAACTATGTGGAGTTGAGATGAACTGCATAGTCAGGTGATTATTACCAGTGGGGAACTATGAGCAACACTTTTCAAAAATACATTCATAAATTTGTTTGATACATTTAATTATTTAAAAACAACAATTATAGAAGCTTTATGTTCCTTTTACCTCCATTTTTGGTTCAGTGACAAATCGCAACAAAGTCGTATCTAGTGTTGTCTGCATGGTTGCATTTCTTTATGAATAAAATGAAAATCTGTTGTTGTTTAATTTGAAAAGTGGGCTTTTTACTGAACCATGTTTCCTAATAATTTTCCCGTGTGTAAACCAATTAGCTTAAAATTAAAGTTTTGTGGTGTCTTTGTTGTTCGTCACCAGGAATCAAAGGTCATGGTGGTGCCGTGTCCGAGTGTCCAGCCCATAGAAGAAGCCCTGGAAGACTGCACTCGCAACGTGATCCCCATCATACTGTATGCCATCAACCAGGACTCCGTAAGCACAGAGCAGGTGGCGGATCTCTGGAAGGTCAAAGAGATGCTCTCCTTTCCCATCTGTTTTGTTCGTATCCCCGACACCATGCCAGCAGCCTCCCCAGAACCCGGCCGTCGTGCGGAGAAGGAAAAAGAGAGGGAGAAGAGTGCCCTCCACAAGCAGCTTCTCTCTCTCGGCCTCCTCGGTAACCCGACAGGAAACTGCTCCTGTGGTGCCCCTACGCAGATGCCCACCCCGGGTGCCAAGCCCCAGAGCATGCTCGGCGAGTCTTTCGAACGACTGCATCGGTTGCTGGTGCCGTTTGCTCGCCAAGTGCTTCAAAACCAGCAGGTGGAGGCTGCCAACCTGCTAAATGGGCTGCATTGTCGCTGTCTAGATCTTTTCATCAACCAGGTGAGAGGACGATGCCTCCTAGCACTGTTCATGTGTATGTCTCATTGTTTTTATTGCTTCATGCTCATGTAGATAGATACTTTATTTATCCCGAGGGAAATTCAAGCATGTGACAGTTGTTACTACCACTGTAAGAAATGCTTAGTGTTAGACTGCTTTGACCCAGTATGCGCCTGAACAATCCCCAACAGACCTTTGTCCTGTCTACTTCACTTCCCTGCAGGCCTTTGACATGCAGAGGGACCTACAGATAACACCACGCAGGCTGGAGTACACTCGTGAGAAAGAGGGTGAACTCTTCATCTCCCTCATGGCCATCGCTAACCGCAAACAGGAGGAGATGAAGGAGATGATTGTGGAGACGCTCAGCAGCATGAAGGAGCAGCTGCTGGAGGATGCTGCCAACCTGGAGTTCACAGGTTAGTGAGTAAACCCCCTGAATAAATGCCACAGAGGTTTCTCTCCTGTGGGTTTTCAAGATTTTTTTATATTATTAAGGAAGCTATTGTAAAATGTTACCACGTTTCGAGTGGTTTGAGTTGGTGCACTAATAATGGAACAAAGAGTTTTAACTTGTTTTAAAAAAAGACTTAAATTAACTGATTGATCATAACAGATTCTTGATCGTTGCAATCCTTGTTGTCTTAAGAAGAAACCAAATAAAATCCAGATAAATGTTAACTTAAAGCTACAAAAACAATAGTAAGGAAATTAAATGTTTTACAGCGTGCAAACTAATGCAAATTAAATCACAAAATGATTTTTATTTTGTACATTGCCTAAACTGGGATCTTTTTTTATATCTGTGTACTTTTAATTTACTTAGCTTTTTGTTGTTTGTTATGATGTAGTATATACATACTACTAATAAATTACTAATGGACTTGCAGTGCTGTGATTTTATATGAGAGGACATATTTTCACATTATCAGTAGTTTATCATGTGCTGTGGTTTGGGATCAGTAAAGATGATTTATACATTTGTGTGATGATGTCTCTGCTGCTGTCAGACTTCTTGGAACAAGCAAATAATCTTTGCAGTGGTCATTACACACACTATTAAACTATGTTTTTTTTATTTCACATCCTTCAACTTGTGAAGCCTCTGTTTGATGGTATAATAGTTTTGTGGACTAAAAATATGTATTGTGTATATATAATTGGAAGCATAGTCCCTCCATAGTCCCCAGTTACATTCTTACAGCCTATTTTCACTGCAAGCCATGTGCATCTCCCAGAATAAGAGGACAGAAAAGAATGATTGATAGTCATATCCACATATTCCAGTACAATTTAAACTTCCTTTTCAAAGTAAAAGCACTGCAGTAATATTTAATTTAACATGACTTCACTTGTGAAAGAATTTCCGGAAGTGATCCGGCTGAAGGGCAGTATCTTTCCACTTCCTCTCTCTCTCTTTCTAGCTTTCTTTCTCTCTCTTGGGTAAACAAACTACACGTGACTGCTTTCTAGTTATTACTTCGCATTTACATTTAAACTTCATATGGCATTGTAAATTAAATGATATTTTGCTTTTTCATGGACATTATACAGGGATAATTGTATGAGGAAACAGGGCTGGCAGCAGCAGCAGCTTGCAAAATGTGATTTCACATATTTTACATAGGATTACATTACCACATGTGTGCCTTTGATTTTATTTTGCTCTTACATCTTCAACTTATTGAACAATGATTCCCTCTTTATTATTTCTCTATTAAAGAAATGTCTGACTCGTGGTACCCAGACTGCAGGCTATTGAGATAATTTTCATTTTTATCTATTCTCTCTCTCTGTCTCTGACCGAGTAGAAACAGACAAGTGACTTTCATTTTGTATGTTTTTAGGCTTTAGTCAGACTTGCAGAGAC